TTTGGAGGGAAAAGGCTGCCAACCCCTGATGAGAGGAACAAGGATCACTGCTAACTCAAGCTGTGCTCCACCGCCTTCTTCTGGACCTCTGCTCACTGCGCCCCTCCAGCACCCGGGCCTCCTGGGCCTGGAGAAACGATGACGTAAGTAATGAGCAAACACCCGCGAGGGGCTGTGGCTAGAGCTCCAAGGATTGCCATGGGGACTCTGTGTGCCGTGGCAGACACTTGCAAACAAGGTGGGGACTCATATAACACGAGCTACATACCTGCATGAAAGAATACAACAGCAGCCTAAGTAACGAGAACTTTCTGGAGAGATCTCATCTTCGCAAGGGGAGGCTTGATACACGTGGACCTTTGAGGACATTTCGTTCATAATCTGTATAATGATGCTTAGTATGTGCATTCATCATATTTATTTATCTTACGGCTTAAGACATGATAGAGGACTTGGCATCAGTCTATATAATTATATTCTATTATACATTATATGATATTCTATTATATACACAACACTTGGCCTTAAAGAAGGAAAGTTAAAATGGAATTCTCTTGTAATCAGTTTTTTTTGTGCTGAGAAGTGCTTCCAGGTTTGGGAGCAATCCTCTCTGACAAGCCCCTAGAACTCTTTATTCGTGAAAACTCCATGCTGTGTCTTAGTGGTTATGAGCGTGAGCGTTGGGGCCAGTGTGCTGGGCACGGACGCCAACTCCACCGTGGGTACCTCCGCATAAGCACTGAGCCTTCTGTTCCTCAGTTTCCCCACTACTGCCCAAAGGCGACAGGGAGAGAATGTGTGTGTATTTAGTGAGACAACCCACACAAAGTGTTTGGCGCACAGGGTGGCATAGGGTGTGCCATAATTGAGTCAAACTTATTATTAAAATACTGATACAATATATCATCATTTTAAATAGCAAGTACAGTTGGTATAAGTGAAATTATGTAAGCAATCATCTTGATTATTAATTTTTCCTATATATTTTTCTATTTCTATTTTCCTTTGGAAAATAATGAGAATAGTAGATATTGTTGGGTGGTGATGAGCAGAAAAGAGAACACGAATATAACGCTCCATACAGAATCACCGTGGTTTCCAACAATGAAATACTGTATGTGGGCTTCTCGTGACTTTGTAAGAATTAATTGTTTTAAAATCAGCTTCAATTGTCAAAATTCCCATGACTTATGACAGCTTAAATATTTGCTATTTTGTTCCAAAACACAAATGCCAGCTTTTTTTGTCTCTCTTTTTAAGTGCTATGATATCACTGTCCTATTCACAACACGAGAGACTTGCTTGAAGAGATATGACTTTTTAATATCCGAGCTTTTAAAGGCATCTGGCCCTTATTTAGCTGTCACATTTCCCTCCGGCTCCTGCAGGCACGGTTCTGTTGCTGAAGCTCGGCTGGCTGCCTTCTGCAGAGCCCCTGCTTGATGAACACAGCTCCCCTCAAACCGCGGGACCCCGCCTCTGCCACTGCACAATCAGAGCACACAGTTTCACCATGGCTTTCAAATAAGAAGATAAAAATAAGAAAATAAATTGCTGGACACTCAGCTTTAGTGGGGCCACTGCCATGACATGTTCAGTTTGATGCCTGATATTATTTGCAGAAGTGTTTATGTACTATGAAATGTTCAGCCAGAGCATACAGGAAACTGTAAAATATTTTATGAGATGTGTACATGGTTGATGGTAAAAATTTAAACGCAACCTGGGACGGTTCTATCTAAATTCCAGGAGGGCAGATGAGGGAATAGTTTCTCTGTAGTGACTCAGTTTTACACAAGGGTTTACATGAACTGGGAAGAAATATCTGATATGGGAACTATATAAATTCTTTTTCATAAAATTAAACTTTACAATTTCTAGACAAGTAAACATATTTTCTTTCAGAACAAGAATCACCAGTTATGTTTATTTGTCTTCTACATGGTAAAAGCATTAAATGTGAATTGTTTATTATTTTATAGAAACAAAGGACAAACAGTAATAAATGAAGAATGCTCCCCACATACAGAAAGTACATACATAATTTAAAAAATATTTGTGCTTTTGTTTTTTTAAATAAAAATTCTTAGTCCTAAAATTGGAATATTATTGTTTATTGATGTGAGAGAGAGAGAGATAGAAAGATCAATTTGGTGTTCCACTTATTGATGCACTCATTGGTTGATTCTTGTATGTGCCCTGACCGGGGATGGAACCCAGAACCTTGGCATATAGGAGGATGCTCTAACCAACTGAGCTACCCGGCCAGAGCTGGAACATTATTGTTGGATCTCAACTATTGCAATGTGTGAAGACAGGAAGGTTAAAGACATAGCTTTAAAATGACATGTTCAGAAAGTAGAATTTTCAAATTGAGGTGAAGGGAGAAGTATTTCTATTTCCTTTACTCTCAAATCTATGAGGCAGTGCCAATCTCCCACTAGAGAGGCTATTCACTTATTTTCTGGTTTTATTTTCAAACTTGATCTCCAAAACACAGCCTACAAAAATAGAAACTATTTTGTGTATTCACATTTGATTTAGAGGTGAGCATGATTTTTGTGTTTATTTTTTGTTTTGTTTTATAGCATGTACCTCATTAGGTCATTGTGAAGACAGAAGAAATGCCAGAGGTCCGCTTCCTGACACAAGGTAGGTCTCAAAGTAGGTTAATTCCCCTCTCCCTTGCTTGCAGACTTCTTTAAAAAAAAATTGTTGTGTAATTGACAGATTATTTAATGAATACCAGTCCCTTTGAAGCAAATTTTAATGTAACACGTCTAAGGCACACATGCCATAGAAGCAACGTGTCTTGGTAACATCGTAGCAAGCCCCGCATGGAGCACGCTGCTAGCCTGGGAACGTCGGTTTCCCTCCCTGGGCCACGTGTTTTTATCTGTGAAACTAGTGGTTAATAGAAGCAACGTGTCTTGGTAACATCGTAGCAAGCCCAGCATGGAGCACGCCCTAGCCTGGGAACGTCGGTTTCCCTCCCTGGGCCACATGTTTTTATCTGTGAAACTAGTGGTTGTTTCAATGATCTTTAAGACCATCTTCTGCTCTAACATTTATGAATCTACGTAACATTTTAATCTTTAGAGAGAAGTTTATTGAAGTCACATTTTCTGAAATGTTCCTTCTTTTTTTCTATATTCACTGCTTAAGGAAATTTTATTTCACTTCTAATTTAGTGTTGTGGAAAGTCAGAGAAAGAACCTATGGGTAGAAAAGAAAAAAAAGAATTAAAAATATTAATATTGAGCAATTATGGGGACATGTAGGCTGGTTCAGGACAGACATAAATGACCTTGTTTTATTCTACATTCAGCTCACTGGCTTATGATGGAAAGTGAAAGGTTATTATATGGACTTACTGGGCAAAACCAGATTTTATAAATAATTACCTGTCAGACTGTTCAAGATAGACAAACATACGCCAGACCAACAAAAACACAGACCTGTCATATTTCTGAGAGAAATGTACGTTGAGTCTTCCTTCTCTGGGAGTATAAGGAGATCAGGTAGAATAAAATGAAGGGAAAACCCTAAACCCTATATTTTCTGCCTTGTGCATACTTTAAAATGTATAATGTGGGAAGAGAAGGAATTTTGATGTGAAAAAATAGCCCCTGAAAATTTTATACATCAATAAGCCAGGCAGATCGAAACCAAATACAATAAATGCTGTAGTTTTAAAAGTTAGGATGTTTACTGCAAGCTTATAATTTTCTATGATTAGGGACGCCAAGAAAAATAAGAATGATGATAAAAAGAAAAGTTTAATCATACATTTTAACAACACAGATGGAACATCAAAACCCTTTGGAAATTTCTGATATTATATATCTGCACTTTCTGTCCTTGACATAAAGATTTTTTCCAGAAGGACTAACATAGAGCAGGTAAGTGATAGTTGACAAACGGGAATAACGTGGCCCAATCATACTAACTGGGCTGCACAATGATTTTGGTCACCAGACGAAACCTTTCATGTTTCTCATTTCTGTTTCTATTAATTCTTTACAAAGGCTGTCTCAGTGTGAGTAAAAGCCATGATAAAAGTAAAATTACACAAACTCCTACGAATTTAAAGGAATAACTTCCTGTGTTCTTTTGCAATCCAAGTCTAATCAGGAACCGGACAATTACGTCTGCTCTATTTTGATTTGTTCCCGAGGGTGCCAGTTCCTCGCTTACTGGAGAAAGTATAGATGCCAGAGGGTAGCTCAGCTGCTACCGGCAGTTCCTGTCCACATGTGCAGCCTCGGGGTGGCGGTGCTGGGAGAGCACCTCCTTGCTCCCCTGCTAAGACTCTGACCACTCTGCTCCTGAAGGGGAGGGTGCGTGTGAGAGCGGCGGCCTGGGACGACGGGGACAGGGAAGGAGAGAGCTGACTATGGGGCGAGGGTCTGGATGTGGAAAAACACACGCCAGGCAGATATGCAGAGAGCTGGGAGGAAGGCACGAACATGACACACACTGTAAGTGGGAGCGGGGCGGCGAGGACGGGAACGGAGTTCATCAGGTCCCCTCGATCTTTGATTCCTGTGAGTTTATAAAATAGATATTTGTCTCTAAAGTCCCCGTGGATGTAGTCAACAAAGTTGGAAAGTAAAGTGCAAGGGGAAAGCTGACTGTCCTTTTAATTTTGTTTCCTTTGTCCCAAACTTGGATTACTAAATGCATCAAGTAAAACATAGACTAAACACTGAAAAAAAAAAAGACACTGCTTTTAAGATATGTGAGCTGAGGGCAGTAAATCCATTCCAAATTAAAATTTCAAAATTGTGTGATCCGCATTCTTGTCCACCTACACACTCTCCCAAACATCCTGCCATTAATTAGCCAACGGCCCATCCAGTAAACAAGACTAGGCGTTGAGGGGGCTGGGGAAGGGCTGGAGTCAGCCCCTCAACAGTCACAACAAACCAGCCCACTCCTGAGGGTGCTGAGAAGGTCAACGTGTGCTTTACTTTGTCCACACGGGGAACAGACATCACCTTCACAGAGCATCGCCTTTCCCTCGGTCCAGGCCCAGCCACGTCAGCAGGCCAGGAAAGCCATCCCGTTCCTGCGGTAGGCACTCTGTGGAGAAGAAGAAATCTGCAATGAATTATCACAAGTCGACCAGGAAAGGAGGCACGACGCAAGGAGAGCTTCGTCCTGGGCTGTGGCCGGCCGGCCGCACTCTAACAGGGGCTTAATCTGAACAGTTCTGGTGGCAAAGCACTAGCAGCTGCTTTGTCTATTAAAAAGTCAATGTGGTTTAACAAGTGGCTAGGGATCCTATTTTGGGGGAGTGGGAGATAGGCAAAATAAGACATCTTGTGTTGTTAATTGCCTGGACTTGGTTAGGTTAAAAACATGTTGTGTTGAATCTGTTTGTCCTTTGTAAACATGTGTTCTCTATTGGACATGCTCAAGAATCATTTCTAACTAAGTATCTTAATAGTCTATAAATTACTGGCTCATTATACCAAGGCCTAATTTATAGTCTCCATGCAAAGCCCTGGGAACAGGCACTAATAGAGGCCGTTCCTCCCCCTGAAAACGGTCTCTAAGGAGTTCTGTACATTACAGATGTTATAGAAAGCTCGCATCTCACATAACTTCATATACACGCATGCACATGCAGTGTAGCTGTGGATATTCATGATTGGATAAACAGTCCCATGAAAGAAAATGGGAAAGTGGATACTAATCACAATATATTTCTTCAAAGTAAAACGCATGACTTTTCATCCCAAGAGCTGTCTGCCTCCGGAGCTGGAGGAGCTGGGCTACCCAGGCCTCTGTGACTCGCCCTGAGCCTCGCAGCGAGACCGGCGTGGAGCAGAACTGAAACCCACGGTGCAGGAGTAAAATGAGCCCTTTCACCACCACAGCGCTCAATATTTACACTATGAAGTCACATTCAGACAATTCATAACCCTCAATTAGATGCCACTTTTCTATAATGTTTTCAGAAAAGTGGAAACAATTACAAAATCTGTACCAGGGATTTGCCCCTCTAAGCTAACAGCTCTGGGCTATTCTGGAATCTGGACACTTTCAGTCCAATAAATGTACCTTCAACAGCATCTTGTCGGAAATGCAGAATGAGCTTTTATGATGAAGCTAATGCCATGGACGTACTGTACAGTTTAATTCTAAAAAAATGACTGAAATCCATTTTTAATTACATTGCAAAAAAGGTAAGTGAACCCCAAGCTTTTAAAGACTTCTCCCAACACAAGGTGAAACAAAAATGCTTTTTTCAATAACTTTCTGTTAATCATAAAACCAGTTCACGGCACATGCATCCCTTCCAAACTGCCGGCGTGTACGGGATTTCCTGTGGGTGTCAGGTTGGAGCGGGGCTGCAGTTCCATCAGCCGCTGCCACGCAGCTCACTCCAGAGCAGCGGCTCAAGGATGAGAAAACGGGCACATCCCTCGCCCACTCCTCAGGGCTCTCCGGTGAGTTTGTTCCTGACCCCAGGCTTTTTGTGCCAGAGGACACCTCTGGGCTGGAGCAAACATCCTAACAGGAACTAGAAAGTTCCATGTCCACCCCCTGAGAGCCTGCGCTGAGAGCAGTGTTAACTGCATTCCTCAGGGAGCCACAAATAACTCGCAGCGATGGATAGAGTGTCTTCCCGCAACCACAGGCAGGAGCCTCAGGCCTCCGCACAGCCCACCACCAAGGCTGCCTGAGAGGCTTCCGCCCGAGTAATACTTTGTTTCTGGACCTTGATATTTTAAATTTTACAACCACAGCGACAACCTTCCACATAACATAATATTTAAGCACAGGGACGGTTTACATGGAGATAAATGGACCTGGAGTGAAGCCGGATTTCTCTCCCAGGTAAATGGCTGAGTGAGCCCTGCTTGAGAACGAAGTTTGGCGCAGAAGAGTCTTTGCTGAATGTACCTACGAATTTACCGAGTTTAATCTTTCCAGGGTGGGCCGTGTGAAGTGGTTCTCCCTAGGGCTGAAAAGGTCACATTTAAGAAAATCAATTCACCTTTGCAAACAGTGAAAAGATCGCAGGCTTATAGTAACAGATCCCCAGTAGCCAAGCTGACCCAGATTTCTGGAGAAGGTCTTCCTATTCTAATTCTAAAATAGAGGAGGAACAAACATGCCTGTGTAATTAGCGAAGGGCAATTTCAGCAAACCAATCCCCCAGGGTCCCTCACCCTGAGTCACTGCTGTTCCTTTTGATGTACAAAGGATGTGTGCTCTCTGTGTAGGGTGATTATGGGAACGTCGAAAATTTGGCATCTTTTCCAGAGTAAGCAACTTTAAAGGAAGATGGATGAAGACAACTCATCTTTGTGTCAACTGTGAATTTCTCTTTATTTGTGTTGCAAATGTTGAAACTAAATTTAAACATCGCTTGGTGTGAGGGCCTTCCAGAGGCCACATTCTCACGAAACACATTGTATCCCACTTACTCTCTACTGTCAGATCCTATGACTGATTCCCAGTTCTATGTCTTCACAGACACTCTGCAGACCCTGACCGGGAACAGCCAGGACCACACCTCACTAATGAAAAGAATAAATCAATCAATAACCAAATCAGACTTCCCCAATAAACCAGCTTCTTCCGTATGCCACTTAAGACTTATTATTGATTTAATAAAGGTCTGTACTCGACTACTAGTTGCTCCTATGTGAATTTGTTGAATATCTCAGACATTTTAGCATGTTACCAGTAAAGTAGCAAAGACAATATTTGGGTTTCTTTTTTTAAAGGACCAATTGAAGTTACTATGCCTTTTCTTAAAAAATTGAGGATCAAGTGAGCTCCCAACTTTTACATTCATTTATTCACTCAGCCCCAAATTATGACCTGTTACCAGAACCTCAATATACCTGGATAAGCAGACACAGATGCTATCTATTGCATGGGCATGGAAATGAACTCATGACTGTGCACTTTTAAAGTATGACCTTTTTTTGCTTATTTGAATATGGATAAACTAGAGAAAACATTTAAATCTCAAATTGGTTTACTTCTGCTTTGTTGTGGGTCACCATAAATTGCACATTTTAAAGAATACACATTACTATGACAGTAAAAGATTAATATTTATCTTAAGCAAAAGAAGACATTCTATAAACATATCCTATTATTCCAACTTGAATATACTTGCGTGTGTTATTTATGCCACAGTCTAAACCTGTCCTCCACCCAGTTCAGATGTACATTTTATTCTCACTACCACCTTTCCTGACTCCTTCCTACTTTCTCAAACTTGAAATAAAACAAGAGTTTCATTGTAGGGAATGACCTCAGCAAGGCAGGCTAGAGAGTCCCAAAGCTCATCTCCCACAAAAACAATAAACAAACAACTACCAACATGCAGAAACAGCTCTGGGAAAGCTCGCAACTACAACAAAGAAGCAGAACCCCATGGAGCTGAGGAACAAGCCTGGCCACTTAGAAGTGTGGGAAGCATTTTACCTGCGTCACCCCACCCCCAGTTCAAGCAGCTCAGCGCAGAGGGACTCCCTCAGGTGAACTTTTCCCCAGGGGAAAGGAGAGCAGGAGCACCTCAGAAAGTCTCATCACTGCCATGGCCGTTTGCAGCCTCGGCCACAACACTGAGCCCTGCTGCTGGAGCTGCATGGATCCCCACTGCTGTCTCCTCATGGTGGCTGGGCTGCTGCTGCTGTGAGACCCGGGCCCACCTGATGCTGTGCCCACTCTCTGGGTTGGGACACCACAGCACCTCACCATCTATGGACGGGGAGCTGCTGCTGCTCTCTGTGCCTGGTCTCTCAGATTCTAAATCACAGCTTTGATCCAGCACCACTGGGCAGTGCTCCTGCAGCTGCTGCTCTCTGGCCCACTCTGTGAGTCTGACGTCATGGCACTCACTTGCCATCACTGGGCAGCACTGTTGCAGCTCTATGTCCCATCCTTGGGGCCTGAGTCATGGCTTTGACCTGGCATCACTGAGGCTGAGCTGCTGCTGCTCTGCCCCCTGCCCCCGAGGGCCAGAGTCGGGACTTTAACCCACCATTTCAGGGCATCTGCTGCTGTACCCTAGCCACTGCTGGGGCCCCCACCCTTGGGCCCAAATACTGTGATGAGTCTCAGAGACTCAGACCGGGGTTCCCCAGGAGACCTGCACATGTCTGCATCTAAGACACTAGCATTACCATTGCAGCAAGTGCACCTGTGCCCCAGGACCCAGGCACTGCGGTAGTTCCACATGTACCTGACCTCAGCACTCCAGCTGCTCTGAGTGCCTGAAACCAAGTGGGATAGCCTTGTCTAGCACATCCTCCCACAGGCAGAAAAGGAGACCAGGAAGACCCCAGCAGCTCTGCCACTGAGGACCCCAAGAGTCCTAGGCACCACTGCCACTTGCAGGACCTCCACAGTCTTGGCCATCAAAGACAATGCAGTCTTGACCAAAGTTGACCTTGTTGATGGATGTATGGCAACTATGCCACTGTGCTCTCCCCAGAATCAGAGATGCTGCATCCACCCAGCCAAAGCCCTCATGGCCACCTTCAGAGAAAAGTCTTTCCTAACCAATGTTAGTCTTTAAAAAATGCAGAAGAGCTGACTGCTCCCTCAAAGGCACAGGCGTCAATGTAAAGCCACTAGAAACATGAAAAAGTAAGGAAACATGATACCATCAATAATTTTCCAGTACCCAACGCCAAAGAAATAGAGATCTATGAGTCAACTGAAAAAGTATTAAAAATAATTATTTTAAGGTAGTGCAGTGAGATTCAAGAGACCACAGAGAACCCAATGAGCTTAGGAACTCAATGCATGAACAAGATGAGAAGTTCAACAAAGAGAGAGAAATCACAATGAACCAAACAGAAATTCTGGAGCTGAAGGATGCAATGAATAAAATGAAAAAATGCAATAGAGAGCTTCAAAAAAGGCTTAATCAAGCAGAAGAATTAATCTGCAAACTTGAAGACAGATCTTTAATATTACACTCAGAGGAGAAAAATAAATAAGAATGAAAAGGAGTGAAAAAAGCCTATGTGAATTCTGGGACAACATTAAGTGAAACAATATTTGCATTATGGGAGTCCTAGAAGAGAGAGAAAGGGTCTGAAAAG